CAGTCTGTAAACTAAATGGACCCACTTTCTTCTCCTAAAAGCAATTATGTGGTTGTAGTTGACACATCAGTTTAACTGCCAACATGACTACCGCTCAACAGATAAAAATGATCTGACTTCCAATGTTTGACCTCCCTATAGGTCCCCCAAAACTGTTTACACCATTATTTGTGAATACACTGATACAAAACCCAAATGAAAAAATCAGTGGTGACAATGAAACCAAAGCTACTTTGTGTCTCTAAAGTGAACCACGAAGGAAATCCAGCTAGACTTAGGCACGTATGGATGGGATCCCAGGGCAAGCTGCCTAAATTGGTCCATGAAAACTGTCAGGATTGCCACATGCCTAGGGTTATATGCCCATACTTTTCTCTGTCTTACATGGGCTTGTGCTCCATGAATAGTTCTGCTGACGACAGGAGGACAGCTTCCAGAGCCAAGCGTTTTGTGGTGTAACGGCATCGGAGTTTGGCTCCCCGATAGACCACATTCACAGGCAGATGCCAGTGACTATTCCCTGCTGCTGCTCTCTACATGCCGCACATGCACACTTGAGAACAAGGAGTTAGGTGACAGTCTGCAGTGCAGAAGCCCTCAGCGATGAAAGATTGTAAGTAGTAATTGAGTACAGTGAGCAGTTAGCTCCTGGCAGGGATTTAAGTGACCTTCCTCCTCTGAAGGAGCTTCGGATTTAAGTTCCATGCAGATGAGAGTAATGAAACTCTTCAACCTAAAAACTCGGTGGCAATTAAATGCGTTATTCAGTGCACACAACCGTGTACGTGTGGGACATAAACGTGTAACCTGGTACGCACACGTCTATGCATGTAGTCATTTTGTACCGATTGTATCAACCAGCTTCTCCAGTTAAAATGCAGGAAGAAAGAAAAGTCTTTTCAAAATAAGAAATACCTTGAAGTGATTTATTGTGCTGTGCACCGTGGCTTCTCAACCCTTCCTTGTGCACGTTAGGCAAACCCAGACATTGCTGTTGAATAAACATAGAGGTAGACAGTACGTCCATTGTCAACAACTCTGCCTCGGTGGGAACTCGTGTGTAACACCATCAGCTGCTGGTGGCTGCTACTTCGGTGATACAAATGGAACTGGACAGGTTCGGGATAGGATGTCAGGCTTAGTGTGGCTTTTCCTTGCTCTGACAGTGTCTTGTGCTGTGGCCTGTGTGGTTAACTGCTCAGGTTGTCCTTTGGCTAGGAATGGGTGAGCACGGCGAGTTTCAATCCTCATCCGTACTTCACAGCTAATTTCAGCCTTCCTGTTAAAAGAAACATAATAGCACTTCAGGACAAAAAAGAACAGGGAAAAGGACAGATTTCAAGAAGGGGGGATGCAGCAGGAAACGTAGACACCTCTAATATTTGGATGCCCAGGCTGAAAATCTTTCAGTGGGGCTTATTTTCTGTCAGCCTGGAACACCAGTCTTCTAAAAACCAAATCTTCTTAAAGTACCCATCTGTGCTGAACAACAGGGAATGATGCAGGGTTCCTACAGTAGCACTGGACAGCTGCATCCCAGCAGCAGAAATGATGGAAGGAGACCCCACTGTGCTGCATGCCCAGCTGTGGAGCCTGCTTAGAACCAGTTAGTCCCTACACCCAGCCCAGTTAGCAAGGCCATCCTCACCCTGATCCCTGTGCTGTCACAGGCTGGGCAGACTTCCCTCAGTCCATGAGCTGCAACAGAGACATAGGAAGTGACCAGCTGGGCTGGAAAATCTGCATGATATCACCCCTTACCAGTAGGCAGGCTGCTACCAAGTCTACGCCCTTAAAACACAGTTCAGGCTTCCCTTTACCTTGAGGGAAAAGAAATTAAGAAAAAAACTTATGTAAAAACTTCATCTAGAGGAAAAAAAAGTCTAAAAATTAAAATTATCTTGGAAAGAAACACACGGGTGTCTGCAACAGGGGATAAAATAGGCTTTGATCCTTTTGTACACCAAAAGATGTCCAGGGTGAGTTTGAAAAGTCCCTGATTCCACATGTATCACTTGTACCAAAAGGCTCAGTACTTTTGCAAAACAGATACAAAGGCTGCTTAAACTGAACACGTGACTTCCATATGGCAAAATTTGAGAACTCTTTTGTAGATGTCTGATCCTGAACCCACAGCAGTGACGAGGGGAGCTCACCAGCAATTTTGAATTCCTTAGTGCAAAGCAGTGTGCTGGCTGAGGTGAGCCCACACAGTGTCCCAGATGGTCCCCAGGGCAGCCTGGAGCTGCCTGAGCGGGAAGGTCTCCGAGGTGCCCATCCTCTTCTGCACCCACGTAAACCGGGGCAGCAGTACAGAAATTCCAACTGAGCCCAGGTGATTCAAAGCCTCCTGAAACTGCTGTTTTCCCCTTTATTTATTTTTCTAGGAAAGGTGGAACAGTTAAATTGCTAATTAAAACAGTTAAATCCAGTTAAATTGCTACAGAAATGTCACTGCCTCCTCTCCAAAGGGGCTTCTCAGTTGCCCAAAGCTCATGTTTCCTTCAAGGAGGAACAGGCAGACCCCTGTGAAAGCTGAGTGTGTTTGCTGACAGGGTACATTGCTACGGCTTGTTGCAATTCTAGAAGTTAATTTAATGTGGGGGTTTTTTTTAAACCAAGCTCCTTTTTTTGGCTTTTTCTTTTTTTTTTTTTTTAATTTACAGTGGAATGAAGAATTATTCTTGAGGATTAGCATGAGCTGGTGAATAGGCACTGGAATAAAGCTCAGGACATCTGAGTTCCATTTCCTGCTTTATTTGCTGCAAGATTCTCCCCCCAAATCACTTGAGTTCTCTCATTCCTTGCTTGTCTAGACAGCAGAGCACTGAAGGCAAGGGCTGCCTCTCCCTATGGGTGAAATCTGGTCTGGCTGAAATCAATAGCAAAAAGCTCACAGGATGCAGCCGTAGCATCACTGGAGGCAATGGCAAATTTCTGGCCAGATCCAGTGGGGCCTGAATTTTACCCTAGGTATTTCCACAGTGCCTAATTTAACAGGGCCTTTATCTCGGTAGGGGAGTAAGATGCCCCTGTAATACAAATAACGGTATTTATAAAGTCCCCCTCACACACACACAGCACTCTACAACGTGGGGAACGTGACAAAGAACAGAGCTCCTGCCCAGGAAAGCTTCCAGCAGCAAGGCACGAATGGATAAATCACAGGAGAAAATAACAACGACAGGTACCATCTAGGCAAAAGAAAAGCAGCATGTGGTAATTGGAGCTGGAACACTTCACAGAGCAGCTGTTTCTCAAGAGCTCTCTGAAGAAGGAAAAACGAGGGCTGGGCAATCCTAGAGAGGCTATTGCAGGCATGTGGGTGGTAAATAAACTGTCTCAGGCTGTAGAGTCAGGTTTAGCCTTGAGTGAAATACTGCAGGCGTCGTGGAAACTCTTAACCATAAGGATTTCCAATGAAAATCTTGACAGACTTTTAATGATACAACTGCTCCAGGGGCTTGTAATAAAAAGGTGAAGCTTATAACATTTTGGGCTGTCCTGCCTGCTCGGTGCTGCCAGCTTTCACCCTGACAGATTGAACTTTAGCAGTTCGATTCCCAGACTGAAGCACTGCCAGGATGATATCGCCTCCGCTCCTCAAACATTTACTGTGTGTTTTTCAAATATCATGCAATAGTCAAGGGCAAATAGCAGGTGCTTCAGCTCGTATTTTGTAACACCTCAGACCTCATTGCCACGAGGAGCGAGAAACCTCTTTGGTGCCAGGCTCAAAACTGTCTCTTCTCTTCCCAGGGGACACTTGAACTGGCTTCAGCTGGACCGACGGGTGCTGGAACATGACTTCCCCAAGAAGTCAGGACCGGTTGTTTTGTACTTTTGTGTCAGGTAAGTGCTTGATGGTGAGCCCTTCCCATGGGATACAGCTATGGACAACCTGTTCCCTGCAGACCAGGAAATGAGGTTGTGGGTTTCTCACACTGTAGAAACACCTGTGGACGAACAAACACTTCTGCAGAGGTTTCTTTTGAGCTGTCTTTGAAAACTCTTCTCACTCAAGTGTAAACAAGGAGTAGCCACACTAACACCCAGAGCTGCCCACAGAGAAATGTTGCATGAGGACAAGATCAGATGTTATGTCTTTACACTTTTATTTGTGGGCTTTGAACTGGAAAGTCCAAGCTGGGTAGGGCTGAAGAACAAAGCCCTCTTTCTGCCAGGATAACCCATCTGAGCCAGCAACCTGGAGGGAAAACACTCGCTTCCTCACCGGCGAGCCACATTTCCTCTGGATTGTGCCCAGGGTGTGTGTTTTGTCAGGGACCAAATCAATCCCTGTACAGCTCTGTCATATTCACCTTCTGAACTCACAAATAGCAAATTATGGCATTTTAAGGCAGCCAGTTGGCTTCCACATGGCTGGATCAGACTAGAAAAGTTTTAGTGAAGATTATTGTAGTTTGGGAGCTTCAAACCTCATCTGGGATTTTTACAAGGAACTGTTAGTGCTTGGAAGCTGCTGGAAGCTGCCAGTGCTCTTGTGCACACAGCGCCTTTGCCTCCAAGGGAGATATTTTCTGAGAAGACAAATTTGCTCTTGCAGCTTTGAAACGCCCAGAGAGAGGCCGGGGGCTGGGATGGCATATGCACAAAATTAAGTTGAGGTTTTTGACTTACTTTTAATGGATAGCTCATGTCTAGAACTAGCCAGTGCAGCGTTACCGTGTCTTTTTCTGTTAGGCTTTCCACTCCAGTGTTATATTACATCTGACATCACTCTCATTCATCCCATAGTGCCCACAAAAAATGAAGACCTACTTTTGAGTTTCTTCCCCTGAGTGAAGCCTTTTTTTAACTTGCATAGTGATTGTCATTCATTTAACTTCCATTACAAGGGAGGGTTCTCAAGAGAAAGGACTCTTTGTTCTGTTATGTCCCCATGTTTAGTGGTGGATGGCCCCATGAGTCCAGAATTTACCTGCTGTCTCTCAAGAGAAGAGTTTAGTCTACATTTTGAGGGCTTCAAACCGTAAGGGTAGATCAGAGCTGAACAACTCCAGTGTGTAAGATCCAGATCCACCTGTGCCTAGAATTAACAAAACTGTTGATGCTCGTTAAGTACACATCAACTCTGTTATCAAACATCTTGTCTAGGGGCCAAATTGAGGAGTCCGTGCTGGGACAGGGATCCCATGGAAAGCAGGAAAAGCTCTGGCTGAGCAAGAGCTAAGTGCGGGTTTTAGGAGTGGAACTGTTAAATGTGTGAAAGCTGGTGCTACTGAGCTGCTCTCATACTCATTTCAAAGACCACTCAACAAGCATAAATATTGCCATCTGTATTGTTTTATGAAAGTTGGCAGCACAGTGGAGACCAGTCATTCTATCAGGATCGTAGCCAAGAGACATCCTAGGATATGGATCCATGTAACAGTTAGTGAATGAGTGACCCCTCCTGTTCTGGAATTGCAATCCGTAGGGGGAAAAAAACCAGCATTCGATGACTGAAAAGTGTGTGTGTGTGAAAACCAGACTGATTGTGGACTTTTACTGGGGGCAGTAATGAGTGGATTGTCACACTGAGTTATGATTTGGATTGGAGTGGAAGGCCAGATGCTTCAAGAGTTAGGAACAGGCATTAACTTACCATGGCTTTTCTACTGCTTATTTTCCCTGCGGATGTCAGACACTGGCAGAAGTTGAAAAAGTTTCTCAGCACATAAAGGGTTCCCATGTTCATCCTCAGATCTGATCTGAGCAGAAGGCAATCGAAGAAACCAACTCCAGCCAGATGGCTGAAGTTGGAAAGGCCCCACATATCTGTTACCCAGTGGTTTCAGTTCTGGCTTGGGAACAAAAGCAAGGGCTGACAGAAAGGTTGTGAAGAGACCCACTCATAGGTGGGGTTTTATTTTCATAATCTGGGGGATGAGTAGCAGTTTGAAAAGACATCCATAAACATACCAGAAACAGAATGCTCCCTCTCCCCTGCTGCCCTCATCTGGAAAGCAGAGATGATTAGTGCTATGCCATACCTAATCGCAGATGTGTTCATTTTTAAGGGACTAGATGCCCATAACACCTACTATATCATTGGAAAAGGCTTGCCTGTGTTTGCAGATACCTTCTTGCATTACCCCTCCCAAGCATTGCAGATGACAAAGCTTAGATTGGTGCAGGGCATCCTAATTGGGGAGATAGTAATACAAGTAACTGGATGTGCCAGATGCTCATGACACAGAAATCTGTTTGCTGCATCGGGATTTAGTAATGGTGTGGGTTTTTCCCTCTAGTCGAAGTAAATGTACAATTCAATCACACTGTGTAGCTACTGAAGAGATGAAGCCTCAGGCAAGAACAGTGAATGGTAGTTTGTGAAGAGGAGAAGCTACATTTTCACCTTTTTTATGTGAACATCGGATTGTTTTTACCCTCAACACTCCTGCAGCAATGTTGATGGGCAGCATGCCCGCAAAAGATGCCACAGATTTTAGCTTGCTCTAAAAGTACATTTAAAGGGAAGCCTGCCTTCTTAAGAAAAGGCTTCTTGGAAGAACCGTGCTGAAAATAGGAAGTTTCACAAGCTTTGCAGTGTGAAATTCTCCTCCCTTTTTAAAATCTCTGCGGCACTGCTGAAGCTTTGTCTTTTGACACACGTTTCCTTGGGGTTTGACATTGTTGAACACTGATCTCCAGTGTCTTTACTCTCTTCCGTAATCAAAGGC